TCAGTTGAGCACAGTTCTCTGTGTAATCTGTAATCCACTCTCTGGTAGTGGCACTGATAGGATCATATATTATTGCTACTCTATATCTATTTATTGTTCTCCAATAAGGCACACTCTTAGGATAGTATGTCCCCACTTCCTGGAACTGAATCAGACTCATCTGTTTTCTGATGAGCCAATACCATGAAGAGAAATTATGGGCATCATTTCCTGAGGGAAAACTAAGAACTTGTGTGCATTTTCTAATTTGTTCTAAAGCTGGCAATGTGCCTGATGGCATTTTCTTTATCAACCTGGATCCCTGAGCCATTACAATGAGCAGAGCCTCCTTGATGCTCACGATAAGCACAGACCATGCAACTCCTGGACAGGATCAAGCCACAAAGATTTGGCTGTTCTGTGTTCTTCGCCTACCGTGAGAGTTACCTTGTCACAATCAATTCCAGAGATATATGCTCATTTCTATTTATCATTTTTTACATCATTTCCTTCTCAAGTATATTCTCTTTTCCTCCTTCTTTATTTCACAAGTTCAACATGACTCTCTCTCACCACCTGTCAGATGACAAACACGCACTAATGTCTTTCCAAGTGTCGCTGCTGAATAGCAGCTAGTGCCATTATTGATACTGGGTTTAAAATAGCTACTTTCACTAAGTTATGAACCAAGAAAGCATAATTTACACTGGTTTGGTCTTCCTCACCTAGAACATCTTAAACCAATAAACCTTGCCATACAAAGAATAACATATGTCATCCTAAATTGTCTTCCTTTTTAAGTTTCCTTCCAGATGTCTTGATAACATTGAATTTGGGTGCAAAAAAAGACTTTACTGGCAATTTTTTTACTTGATTAAACCTGATGAAAGCTCAGTGAGTAAACGATAATTTTAATTTAAATTTCTGTAACACCAGTCAAGAATATAGAGAATAAATAAGAAAGTGAATGCCAGATTATAAGAAGGCCGTTATGAAGTGTAATTGAAATGACATAAGAGAGCATGTCTCTCACAGCTTCATACATTCTGCTTTAGAGTAGTACTAATTAGCTATATATTTCTATATTTAGATGCCATGATTATGTCGTGTTTTCAAAGTAGAGACAAGTAATACCTTCCAATGGTAGGAAAGCTTTTATGATGATTACCTTCTACAGAAATTATAGAATTCTTGCAAATGTATCTAGTGTTAAAAGCAAGACATGTGTAGTAATTGGATCATGATGACAGGGTGTGCAATGAGCATATTAAGTGCACATTTAGAGCAGAGGATGAGCAAGACTGTTGGAACTTAGAACTAATTTTTGAAAGTCTAATTATGCTAACTTGAAGAGCATCATGAAATGATGATCAGGAACTAAAGTTTTTGTTATCACCATTTTGTAATGATTTAGGAATCTTTCTTTTCTTCTTTTCATTTTTTCATCCTCTCTCTCTTTCTTTTTTGGGTGATATTCATGGTAATGCTCAGGAACTACACAGTGCTAATATAGAAACTGGATTCCTAGTCAGAGTGTAGAACAGTGGTAAGGGCACTTGCCTTGCATATGACCTATCCAGATTCAATCCCTGGCATGCCATATGGTGCCCTGATCCTTCCAAGAATGATCCCTGAGGACTAAGCTAAGAGTAAGCCATGTGTACAGTCAGATGTGGCCCCCCAAAGCAAAAGAAACCATTGTTCCTGCATCAAATCATCCCTTTGAGTTATCTTTCAGCCAACTTTAAGAGTACTTTTCACAAACATTTTTCTTTGTTTTAGACAATATTTCATTTATATATATATATAGGAAGTTACATTCATTTACTCAAGGTAAAAATAGCACCTCTAAAATATAAGTTAATAATTCTTCACATTAAACCATAATTAGGGTCTTGGGACATAGCTCAAAAGACTAGAAAAAAATAATTTTCCTGTTGGAGATCCAGGTTCAATCCCTAGCATCACAAGATTCCCCCAATTACTGATAAAGCTCCACTGGGTGTGACCCTCAAATCACAAAAAGCAGAATTATATTGTAAATCATAGTAAGTTGCATCATTTTTAGTAGGTACTAATTATATTTATTTGTTTATAATCTTTTTCCAAACACCCATCTTTGTTCATTATTGGTTTTCTATAGTAGTCAAGATTTCTATGGTTTTCTTTGTGTTACAGATTAATTTATCGTATTTGATTTAATTTGCTAATTTTTTCAACGTAGTTTTTCATCTATTTACAAGAGAAAAAGGTTGATATGTAATAATATTCTATTTTCAAATAATGTCTATAAGACTTTAGTATAATACCGGCCTCAGAGAGTGAGCTTTTGTACTAACCTCACAAAATAATTAATTGAAAATCAGAGTTATTTCCTCCCTGACTAATCTTGATAGAATTCACCAGAAAATTCTTCTGGACCTAGAGATTTCTCTTAAGAGGGTTTAGTTAAAAAAATTATGTTTTATATATAGTGGATAATTTTCTTTCTGTGTTTGGCAAGTAGTGTTTTTCGAAGTATTGCCCATTTCTTCTAAATTGTGACTTTTTAAAATTAAAATGATAATAGTATTTTGTATTTTATTTTTACTATATTTATTTTTATATTTTATACTTTATATTATATTAAATATATAGTATATATTAATAATTAATAATATATAAATATTAAAATATATTATATATTTATTTTATTTTTACTATAGTTGTTAATTATTATTCTTCAATTTTTTCAATCATTATTTAAGTTTTTAATTTTAAGTTTTAAATGTTGGTATCTTCCTAGCTTTGATTTGTGCTTCTGTTCTCATTGGTGAGCTAGCAGAAAGAAGTATTATTGATTTACATAAACTTTCAGAAAAAGGATAGCTTAGCCTGGTTTGGTTCGTTGACTTTGAGCTCACACCAAGTGGTACTCAAGGTACATCAGTACCTCGGGAAGTGTACAGTGCCATAAATTGATCCCCTGACTGCCCTTTAAAAAAAAAACCCTACATTCCTTCTGTGTTTTTCTCCAGCCAATTATTGAGAATTCCTGGATAAAAGACTTTGGCATTAACATACCCAGAATTTCTCCCATGATGCTAATGTGCATCTGTGGTTGAGAATCACTGCTGCCAGCACTTAAACACGCAACCTAAATGATAATAAAAAATGATTTAAGTCTGCCAGAAGCACCTGCACTTCTCGGACGCGAGGTTTCTAGGCAGCCCGACAATGCAGTCACCAAGACATCGCTGAGGTTTGTTTGAGCTACACAGCAGAGCACTTGATTTCCATCATTGGAGTTTTCCAAGAGCTGTGGCTGGAGGCTTGAGTAAGGGCTTGCTCTTTGGAGGACAGGGAAAGTATGAGAAGAGAAAGGAGTATGAGAAGGGAGGGAGAGAAAAACATAACATATTCAAGAGAAAGGGAGGTTTCTCCAAAGGAAGAGGGTCCTGTTTAATTTTTTAAAATTAGGTTTACTTTGGTCTCTTTCCATGCAATGCCCTGGCTTGGGGTTTTCTGTATTAGTGTGTCTTGCAAGTGTGTTGTTAAGAAAAATAAACGTGGAATTTTTCGTGTTCTTTCAAAACTTTAGGGCTTTTGGTTCTAGATAAAACTTCCCTTGTCCTGAGAAGATCAGTTCTGGCACATGTTGCAGTGAGTCTTATGAAGCCTCATTTTTCTGCATCCCCAAAGAAGCTGGCCTTCCCTCTTGGGACTGCATTAGGGCTGGTTACAGTGTAGCTGTTATAGATCGCATCTTAATTGTATTGCTTTCTAAAATTCATTCTTAGGAGTCCCCTTATCAACTTTCCTTCTTTAAAAACAAACCCTTAGGGGCTAGAGAAAGGATAGCTGGTAAGATAAGCCTGGCACAATGCCAGTCCCACTAAGATCCCAGGAACCACATATGGTCCCTCTGTACACCTCCGGGAGTGATCCCTGAGCACAGAGCCAGTGGTAAACCCTGAGTAGGCAGGTCGGACCAAAAAAAAAAAATCTAAGAAAATAACACCCCCCCCAATCAAAATGAACTTAGACTCTGACCATAGAATTGAGGTTCCCAAGGGGTGGGGATGGGGGTCAGCCTGACTGTGATGAAGAGGTCCAATGGACTGAGGTGGAGGAATATTGACACCATGGTGATGGGCATGATAAAGTAACATTATATTTCAAAAGTATTAAAACATTTTAATCCAGGCCCACCCTCCAAATAGCACCAAGTGGGGACAAGGCAGGATAGCACTTGTGGAGAAACCCAAAGGCAGGTCTATGTGGGAACTCCCCATACTGTCCAGCAGGAGGTGTCCAGGAAGCACAGCGGAGGTGGCTCACAAGAGCCACGTGGCTATATGAACACGACTTTCCAGGGGCGTTCAGAGGAGACGGTCCAGCATCTTATTTCCATCCCATCCAGAACTGGGGTTTTGCAAAGATGCCAGAATGGGCCCAAACCCTTCCCCTCCCACTGGGGTCTGGTCTCCTCCGGGACACTCTGCCAACACAGTGCCCCCTCCCCCACCACCACCACGGGGGGGAAGACTTCACCCCCACAAAGGAAACCAGGAACTGTGGAGATAGAAGTGCCCTGAACACATCCTTGGGGAAGGAAGGAAAAGAATCCACTGGCTCGGACTGATCCCTCCTTCCTGGAGATTCTACAGATGCCCAGCTGCCCCTCCCCTCTCCCTGAACCCACCCACCTGGGTGGGAAATAGAGAACACTCAGCCAAGTCTTAGCGTCTCTGTTCTGTCTGGAAGACCCTCACGTTGGGGTTCAGAAACAGCATCTAGGGCAGTGCCAGGTGTTAAGTGACCCAGCGGGCCTCCCCAGAACCCCTGCAGAAATGACCCAGGGAGGAAGTGGAGGAGCTCCCCCAAAGCCCCCACGTTGGGCCAGCCCCCAGGTCCTAACCCCCAGCAGATGTGGGTGGGCTGCCGCACAGGCCTGTGAGTCTCTGGATGGGCAGTGAAATAAGAGGTCAGCCAGTCTCCGAGATCCACCTGCTGTCTCTGACGGTCACGTTAGGGAGACACCAAGTGAGGATTCCAGTGGTGGTAGGAGGGCATGGTCTGGGCACAGAGCCCTGCCCAGCCCACCTAGTCTGTTCTCCCGGGCCGCTCCTGCCCAGCCAGCTGCGCCCTGCAGTGGAGCAGGTCATCCCGGAGGCGGGCGATGTCCTGGGCGTGCTGGGCCAGTGTGCGGTTCAGCTGGTCCAGGTGGCCCCACAGCCCCTCGCGGGGTCCGTGTGTCTCATGGGGCGCGTTGTCCAAGCCGGCCTCCAGCAGGCCCAGCCTCCCACAGGCACCCTCCACTTGGGCCACCCTGCGGTCAAAGTGGCCCACCACGTGCTTGAGTTCCCGGGCCGTGTCCCGGCAGCGGCTCAGCCCACCAGCCACGTCAGCGACGCCAGCCTTGAGCTGCTCCAGCTCGCCCCGCAGACTGAGGACCTGCCTGTGGCCAGCGTGGAGCCGGGAGCCATGGCCGCTGAGCTGCTCCTGGATGGCGTGGACCTCAGCCTCTACGCGGCGTTCCCGCTCGTCCAGGGACGAGTTGGCGGCCAGGAAGGCGTCCGTGTACTGACTGACGGAGTCGCTGAGGCCCGAGAGGGACCTGCTCACAGAGTTCAAGTTCACCTTGAGCAGGGTGATCTCGCCCTGCAGGGAGCTGCCCGTCGCTTCCGCTAGCTGCCCCTGGACCTCGGCCACGGTGCCACGGAGCTGCTGCAGCAGAGCGGTGTGGCTGGCCACCTGGCGGAGGAGTGCCTCGCTCTGGCTCTGCCAGGCCTTCACCTCAGCCACCAGCGTGTCCAGGATGGCCGAGGTGGCACTGGGGGTGCATGAAGTCTCCAGCGACACCAGCCGCTGCTCCAGCACCGCCAGCTCAGTCTGCACGGGGGGCTGGGATGCCCTACCTGGGGGGGCACCATCACCATTAAGCTCCCCGGCCAGGCTCCCCAGGCGCTCCTCCAGGCTCTGCACCCGCCCCTCCAGCAGGGTCCTGAAGCCGCCTGCGCCCCACGCCTCTTCCCCCACCCCCCCCACAGCAGCCCCTCGTGCCCCGCTCCGTCCCATTGAGTGTCTCCAGGCCCTTGAGCAGCCCATCTGCACCCCCGTCGAGCATGGCAGCGGAGAGCTGCGTGAGTTCCTCCCGGGTGAGGGGGCCACGGCCCCTTGGTGCTTCGGGGACCCCCTGCAAGTGCTGCTCCAGGCTGTCCACCCGGGCACCGATCAAGGCCAGCTGGCCGCAGCAGGTGGCACCGCCCACCAAGCTCAGGCCCTGCAGCTGGGTGCCCAGCTGGGCGAGCTCGCGGCGCAGGGCCAGCTCACGGCCATCCAGGCTCTGGTGCAGCCTCTCGCTGGCCGCCTGGCCCTCCTCACACTGCTGCCGCACCTCCTGCACCCGCAGGCCACACTCGCTCTGGACGTTCTGCAGCTTCTGCTCGAAGCCGTCCAGCAGGCTGCCCCAGAGCCGGTGCAGGCGCTGATCCACATACTCATCCAACAGGGCCAGGGAGGTGAGCGGAGAAGGGGCCGCCGCCCGCAGCCTCTGCAGGTGGGCCTCGTGATCCAGGGCCAGCCAGTGCACTTCGTCCAGAAGCCGCGCCTTGGTCTGGAGTGTGTCACTCACCTCGGTCACCTTGCTCAAGAGCTCATCCAGGGGCGGTGTAAGCGGCCTGCCAGCTCCGTGTCTGGGGCTCACAACCCCCTCGGGGATAACCCCAAAGCCCACGGGTACCACAGGAGCCCTGGAATCACCATTCACCCGAGTGGGGTCCTCGTGGCTGGCCACCAGGCCACTGAGGGTTCCGTACGCTTGTGCCAGGCGCCGGACATCCGCCTCCAGACGTTCGAGCCAGCTCGGCAAACAACCCAGGGCCTTTCCATCCTGGGAGAGGACAGGAGGGTGGCCGGTCTCATTCTGTCCTGTGCTCACCAGAGGGACTTCCTGTTCTAAGCTCCTTGCTGCTCCCTCAAAAAAAAAAAAAGGCAGTAATAATTAAAACAGCATGGTACTGGAACAAAAGCAGAGCTGCAGACCAATGGAACAGAGTTGAATATACTGACATTTCCTCCCAAACATATAATCATCTAATTTTTGATAAGGGGGCAAGAAAAGTGAAATGGAGCAGGGAAAGCCTCTTCAACAAACTGTGCTGGCAAAATTGGACGGCTACATGCAAAAAAGTGGGCTCAGATCTCTGCCTAACACCATGCACAAAAGTAAGATCAAAATGGATTTATGACCTCAACATCAGACCAGAATCCATAATGTTTATTGAAGACAAAGTCGGCAAAACTCTCCATGATATTGAAGCTAATGGTATCTTCAAAGATGTCACGCCACTGGCCGAGCAAGTGAAAACAGAGATAGACAAATGGGACTATCTTAAACTAAGAAGCTTCTGCACCTCCAAAGAAACAGTGACCAAAATACAAAGACAGCCTACAGAATGGGAAAGGATATTCACCAAGTACACATCCGACAAGGGGTTGATATCAAGGATATACAAGGTACTGGTTAAACTCCACAAGAAGAAATCACCCAACCCCATCAAAAAATGGGGTGAGGAAATGAACAGAAACTTTCGCAAAGAAGAAATTCGAATGGCAAAAAGGCACATGAGAAAATGCTCTACATCACTAATCATCAGAGAGATGCAGATCAAAACCACAATGAGATATCATTTCACACCACAGAGACTGGCCCACATCCACAAGAACAAAAGCAACCGGTGCTGGCGCGGATGTGGCGAGAAAGGGACCCTCCTTCACTGCTGGTGGGAATGCCGGCTGGTCCAACCCTTTTGGAAAACAGTATGGACGACTCTCAAAAAATTAGAATTTGATCTGCCATTTGACCCAGCTATAGCACTCCTGGGAATATATCCCAGAGAGGCAAAAAGGTATAGTCGAAGTGACATCTGCAATTGTTTGTTCATTGCAGCACTCTTTACAATAGCCAGAATCTGGAAAAAACCTGAGTGCCCAAGAACAGATGACTGGTTAAAGAAACTTTGGTACATTTACACAATGGAGTACTATGTAGCTGTTAGAAAAGATGAAGTTATGAAATTTACATACAAGTGGTACTACATGGAAAGTATCATGTTAAGCGAAATGAGTCAGAAAGAGCGGGATAGACACAGAAAGATTGCATTCATCTGGGGAACATAAAGCAACAAAAAGGGAGAGTGACACACAGGAATGGCTGAGATTAGTACCAGGAATTTTGCTCCATGAATGGAAGGCCAGCCACAGGCTCTAGGTGAAAAGGAAGCTCAGATAGAGAAGAGAGTACCAAATGAAGGGTGTTGTGAGGACCCTCCCAGGGTGGGAGAAGCATGCTAAAAGTAGTCGATAGACCAAACATGATTGCCACTCAAAGCCTCTCTTGCAAAACACAGTACCCAAAAGAAGAGAGAGAGAACAAGGGGGAATACCCTGCCACAGAGGCAGGATGGGACGGGGGGGGGGGCGGGATGAGGGTGGGGGGGATGCTGGGACCCATGGGGATGGATGACGGGCACTGGTGGAGGTATGGGGACTTGATCATTGTATAACTGAAACCCAAGCACAAAATTTGTAAGCCTATAACTGTACCTCATGGTTTTTCACTAATAAAAAAAATAAAAAAAAATAAAAAAAATAAAAAATTAATATGCAGGGTTCATAGCTTTCCACTATACAAAAAAAAAGTATTAAAACATTTAACAGTTTTGCAAACCAGTGTCTAAAATAAAAGTGAAAAAAAGTATAACTGTAGCACATCAATGTTATCCCAATAAAAATATTGAACTAAAAAAGTGGGGAAAAGAGAAAAATGTATATCTAGGCTTACACAAAGCCGAAGGAAAATGTGGAAGCACTATATAAAGTAAGGAGAAGGACAAATCTCAGAGGAGACCACTGAGATGGGCTTAAGAAAATATCAGGATATTATTTATGTTACGGTTGCACGTCTCCGCCCTCAGATAAGTGAATCTTGTTTCAATCCTTGAACCATCTTTTAGAGTTTCATATTCTAAACCTACTCATTTGGGATTAGAGCACTGTAACAGACATGTGATCAGTCTGTAATGGTGTATATCATTTGGCAGCTACGAGTTACACATGGTTTTGAAAACATTCATGTGCAAGATTAAATTTGGGAGCTAGTAATCAATCACGGCAGGAAAGAAAAAGTTTTAAATCTAATAATATTTTTCAGTGAAAACGGATATTACTTTTGCAGAAGCGAAACATTTGATTTTCAGAGACTTTTGTTTGTTTGGTTTCATCAACTCTGGGAACTTTTTGCTCATTCTGAGAAATGGGTTGACCGCAGACAATAATTGGAACATTTCTTTTTGGTTCCTCTGGAATTTAAACTTTTAGTGGAACTATGTCTTTCCAAAGTATTCTATTAAATATGGACACCTGGCATGCCAGTGTCAGTGTGAAAGTAGCCCACGCCGGTGGGCTCTTGAGAATTGTATGAAATATTTACATACAGAACTTGGATGATTGAAACTTGATTGTACAGAGAAGGTAGATGGTTCAAGGTCCCTCCCCAGATGTCTTGGCCTCTTCCTCCCCCGTCCCCAATTTTGGGTCACACCCAGTGATGCTCAGAGGTTACTTCTGACTTTGCACTCAGGAATTACTCCGGGCAGTGCTTGGGAGACCATATGGGACACCAGGGAGTCGGCAGCGTGCAAGGCAAACCCCCTAGCCACTGTGCTATTGCTCAGCTGTGCTATCTATGAATGATGACCCCATCATGTCCCTGATGCTGCCTGATCCCGTGAACGACTTCCCTGTCCCGTCCCACTCTGTCTACCCATGAACCATGACCAGGTCTTGTCCCACGCTGCTCTCTAGCCCGTGGACGTTTTCCCAGTTTCCTGCCAGAGTCCCGTGTGCGTGGGCAAGATCCCTATGCTTCCGACAGTCTCTGGGTCTCCCAGCTGTACCCCAGAAGCTCCTGTTGGCTAGTCTGGGGTTCTTCCTGTCCGGCCAAGGCCGTGTGGCCTGGGTAAGAGTCCCGTGCTCAGTGCCGTATCCTCTCCTGGGCACCCGCGCTGTCTGGGTTCTGCCCCTGTCTAGCCCGAGATGCCCGCCTGTATTAGGTCCTGTCCAGGCTCATGCAGCCCGACCTGATCTGGGGGGTTCATAGAGAGAAGGGTGAGTGCAGGAAATGAGTGTTCCGAAAGGGAGAAGGGAAAGAGGGGGTGGAGAGAGGAAGAAGGGTCTCCTTTTATCTGTAGTCACATGCCACCCCTAGCCATCCCATTCTACATTCTGATCGGCTGCCTGGTCCATGAGCGGAGATTTAAAGTGACCAGGCGCTCTACACCTCAGCTCCAGCTGTATCACTAGTATCTTTATTTGACAACTTTATGGAAGGGTACTCTGAACAAGACTCAGATGCTGAATGCTCTCTGCAGAAGATGTTGAGGAAACACAGACAGCTGTTGAAGAATGTGGCATTGGAACATTTGTATGCATTAAACGCTATACTTAAGAGTGCTGTAATAACGGGTGCCTTAAATTTAAAAATGTTTTTACAAAGATACAAAGAGAACAGAGCATGTTGTAGTCATGGGTCCACTGTATACTACTATTGCAGGGGACTTGTGTGAAGGAGGGAGAAGAGAGAAAGAAACTAGAGAGTGGAATTTTCCTCATTTGTCTTTTTCCACCTACTCACCCACATTACTCAGGGAGTTTCTGGGAGGGCTGGACTAATTAGTTGGCTCTAAGAATCCTTCATGGTGTGACCAAGCCACCAGGCAATCAGCAAACTATCCCAAATGTATCAGTATATCAGCTCATATGTAAACTTAATCTTAGTCAGTAGTAATCAAAGACTTCAATTTTAAAGAATAAAAACAATTAATGAAGATAATCAAATAAGTAGTTTTTTTTATAATGGTTCGTATTTCAGAATTATTGTTTGTTTAATGTATTTAGAGTCTACTTCTACTTTCCATACTCTCTTTTCTATGCTGAGTTCTAAAGCTTTTGTTCAAATTAGCTTTATGTAGTTGGGACTTCTGTGTCCCTTTGCAAAATAGAATAGACCTAGCTTGGTTCCTGGTGACATATGGACAATAGACATTATCTCCCTAATTAGCAATTCTGGAAGGCAAAGAGAACAAGATGATTGTGGTTGAAGGAGCACCTCACCTGTGCCCACTTAATCTGCCTGCTTAAAGCTTCTGTATTTTCTGTCAGGTGCTTGAGACAACTGAAGCATTTTATATATGATTTTCCCTTTATACATACACTTGTCTGTCAAAACATCTGTCATATTGTGTTATAATAAGAAGTAGATATTAGTCTTATCTCTGGTTCCTGGCACAGAACAATATAAATGCACTATAAATAAGGTTATGAAGAAGCTCTTCTATAGGAAAGAATTTCAGACCAACAGGAACATTAACTCTTCATCTTTGGTGCCCCTACAAAAAAATTGGACATTGTTGTAAAGCCCAACATGGTTATTGAACTTCTTTTCTTCTGTTAATGAGAGAACTTCTGGCTGGAGGCCATATATCTACCAGAGAGCTTTTGAATAGGGGGGGGGGTCAGGGGGGTCCTTCAAAGAAAACCAAAGAGTCCAGGGTTGAGACTCTCAGTTTTTCTCCAATGACCTCTTTGAAAACTTTAAAGTTCTGGGATTGAGGTGTTTCTTTGGTGCATAAGCCCACATGCCAACCACACAGGATCATTCTCGGCATCCTTCAAACTATGGACAAAATGCTACCTTAAGTGGCTGCCAATTTGTGTCCTATATAGTAATTTTACCATAAAATTATAAACATAAATAAGCCTTTTCCTGAGCGCCATGTGCTGTTACAGCCAATTATCAAATCTGGGGAGGATGTAGTAGAACTCCCGATTTGTAGCCAGTTGGTCAGAAATACAGTGACAACTTGGGACTGTGACAGATGTCTAAGCTGGGGGACACTCTTGTGAGACTGAGTTCCTCAACTGCAGGTTTACTTTAACAGTGTGCATTATTGAATGGAATGAGATACTTTTATCTGGTATCTGTAGAGACCTTGAAATTGCTTGGTGTAGAGACCCGGCACTTTTGACGTCATGCACATGAGTTCTCCACCACCTAAGAGCAAACGCTTGAAGTTCAGGCCTAGATTTCCTCCACTCTCCCATACACTTCCCCCACTTCATTGCAAAAAATCCTCAAAAGACATCTTAGTTCAAAGATGGACTGTAGAGCCAGAAATTGCCTGAAGTGGTAGAGCAGAGCACATGCCTTGCATGCAGGTCTGGGGGCCACCATATGCCCCCACAACCAGTACACAAGCAGTGGTCCCTGCAATACTGAAAACACCACTATTTTACCCTCTGTTCTTTTTAAACTCTGAAGTATTTACTGAACAAGACGTTTTTGGCCTTGGACAAGGATGCATTTAAGATGGGAAAGAGGCCAGAATGATAACACAGCAGGCAGAGCACTTGCCTTGAACTTGGCTGACCCAGATTCTATCCCTAATACCTCATATGGTCCCCAGAGTCCTGCTAGGAATAAGCCCCGAACACAGCAGGGTGTAGCCTCCAACACAACAAATAACAAATAAATAAAACAAGAGAAACAAATTATACAAGAATTTTTTTTCTTTTTTTGAGGGGGTTGGGGGGCATACCCAGTGGTGCTCAAGGCTAGCTCCTGGATCTGGGCTCAGAGGTCTACTTCCGGCAGGTCTCAGAGGACTTTATGGGGTGCTGCAGGTCAAAGGCCAATTGGCCACATGCAAGGAAAACTCCCTGCCTGCTATACTATTGCTCCAGCCAAAAGATACTTTCTTGACATGTAGATAACACAAATACTTCATATTGTGGTAGCTTTAATTTTACTCAAAGGGTTTGAGAATAATCTTTTTCTAATGTAGACTTTTCAAGTAATAGAGAAAATACTGAGGAATGCGGAGTGAAAGGTTTAGTTACGAACAGACATTCATAATTTCTTCAAACTAAATGCTCTGGGTTTTGGCTGAGTGGGAACAATACAGAAATAAAACTTCTAGAGTGCAACCACTTGGATGTGAATTTTCATTTGGACATCTTGGAACATTCGGTAACTCTGCGTTACCGAATCATCCTGTGTGGATTGAAGAGTGCTGAAGAGCATGTAAAGCCAGCAGGGTTTATATACACGGAAGCTAAAAATATAGGCTCCCATTTGGCTTCAGAGATTAAGCAGTTACTTTAGCGGGCAATCATTGTACACATCGAATTCTACAGAACAAGAGCATTTCATTTTGTGATTACCAGCAATCTTTCTTCAAAATGGAAGGAAAGGAACATTCTAAACTATCAAAACACACATTTTCCTGCTGTGGTCCTGCCTCCACTTTGTCAGATATTAAAAAAATTTGTCAGTGTCAAAAGTTATTTGAATAATATTTCTTTAAAATCAATGCAAAAATAATTTAATGAAAATAGGCAAAATATTCTATTTAGGAATAATGATTAATGGGGCTATAGAGATAGAATAGGGATGAGGGCATTAGCCTTGCAAACTGCTGACCTGAATTCAATACTCAGCACCCCATATAGTCTCCTGAGCACTGCTAGGAGTGATGCCTAAATGCAGAGTCAGGACTAAGCCCTGTGCACCACTGGGCCTGCCTCCTCTACCTCCCACACACTCCCCCCAACACACACACGCACACACACACACACACACACACACACACAAAATGGTCAGCCAAAACATTATAGATATTTTAATGGAAATAGACAAAATATCCCACTTAAGAAGAATGGTTAGCAAACAAAGCCCAGATGTATAAAGCCCCCTTGGGATGTGTGTTGCATCTATTAAAATGTAGAAGTCTAACTTTATTGCCAATAAACTATTTCTCCCATCTGTGGACATTGGTATTTTCCAAATGCCAGGGAGAATTTTCTTGCTACTTGAGTATAGCAGTTACACTAGAGAAAAACTGATGTATTTACCTATTTCAGAAGACACCATCTGTATTTATCAAACTCCCTGAACATGCAGGAATCTGGGCTGAGTGCCA